CCTCGCAGGTATGAAGCGCGCCTTCATCGTCTGAATGCATCATTATGCCTCTCTGACACGTTCACGGCGCGTCTGATTAGGCGCCAGCTCTCGCCAACTTTAGACCTCAGTCGTAAGGCAGTATGTGAGTGGATGGCCAATTACCGTAAAGTAAAAATATATATCACTAGACACAGCAGCACCGGCTGCAGGCTGCTGGCTGCTGCTACTGCTCGCCAGCGTGACCACCACCACTGCTGAACAGTGGCAGCCACTTTCTCTTACTCTCTCCCACCACCACCCGGAACCAGCAGAGATGCGCCACGCGACGATGTAAATGCCTAATTAATGGCACTATCGGCCAATGGGCACACAAACAAAGGCAGACTGACTGGTGTCAGCAGTTTTCGAGATGCCACTACCACCACTGCAGAGTGCAGTGCAGACAGTGCAGTCTAGTCCGAGTCTGTGTTGGCGAATCCTTGGCAATGTGTGCTAAGTGGCCATTCGAAAATGGCAAACCTTTCTCTACTACTCGTTTTGCGTCTTCAAAGTGTCGTCTAACTTTGTCACCGGTGCTGTTGTTTCTGTTACTTCTACTGGCTGACTTTCCATTGTTTCCTGTTTAATGGTAGTCCAGTGGAGGAAAGTGCAGCCCAGGCCGCATCCACACAGCATCATTGTGACCGCTAATGCTGGCCATTATTCTTAAATTAGCTCTTCCAAGCTTTTAGCCTCTGTCAACGCTCACAAAGTGTGACTTTTCCTTTCTCATCTAGATAGTGCTGATGGTGGTAGTAAAGTAAGTACTACCTAGTGGTACTAGTCAATCATTGGCCATTAACACGCAACAGTACTACGTTACCGAAGACATTTATTTCTTAGTGCAGCCCTCGATAAGATCGCGTAAAGGAAGGTGTGCATCAATAGCATTTAGTAGCTCAGCAGCAGCAGCAGCAGTGGCAAGTGGAGCAGACACTTCATTTTGCAAAGGCATGTCTGAGACCAATCGAATTGGCCTTTTCGAAATGCAAGCGGAAAACAATGGGTCACTTACTTACCGTGCAGCAACTGACTTGCTGCCAGGGAATACGTCGTCCAGGCAGAAAAGTTGCCAGTCCCAGAATCGACACTGTCTGTTGTCGGCTGGATTGGCAGTGGTGGTGCTGGCGGTGGCGGAGGCCACTGCTGCATTGCCAAATCGTGCTCAGTCGTTTGCTGTTCCAGACTGGACATTATAGCATTGGAAATCGATTATTCGCTTGCTACCGCTCTCTAGCCGAAGTTGCCGAAGCGGACGAATCAACAGTTTTACTGCAAATGATAGCCAGAACAATTGAGATGTTCTACTACTGTTACTGTTCGGTGGAGGTGCACACCTCTGCAGTGAGAGGTGCCACCGTTTCAACATCACCATTACATATTTTGCTTTTCTGCGCTTGCGAGCCCGACTGCCAAATATTTACAGGTGTTTTCGGTGTGATCGATGTGTCAGTGACTGCACCCAGTGTCGGCTGCTGTGGATGCGGCGCCAAACGAGGCACATGCTGCACATCGCAGAACCAGCTGTGTATTGCTGATACCACTGATAACAATTAGAGTTTTTTTCACAGAGAAACACTACCATCACTAACGACCAAAACTTTTCTGTCCTGACCTAGACGTGTGTTCTACACTGAAAAAACAAAGTAGTTAAATATAGTCCTTTCCGATTCTAAGGCTCGTGTGATCTACTGTTCTTTGGTACTGCTATCGATAAACTTGACGAGCCTGTCAGTGTCCTGGCTGGCCCTCAACGGCAATCGATTGCCAATTTGTCAGCCAACTTTGGTCAACTTCAGCAGGTGTGCTTGAAATATCTCATCGTCGTCGTCGGCGGCCGAGCTTGCCGTCTGCCCGTTTATGTGTGCTACCGGCCAACAGTGAGATTAGCCCACAAAAAGAAAGTCTTGCATCGACTCTTTCCACACAAAACTGCTATTTTGAAGCCTTCGCTCCCCAAAGAATGTACTCTGCCTCGCGCAGTGTGTATGCTTTTGATGGCGAAAACGCCTGTCTTTGTGCCCGTTCACTAGCTTCGTTCACTCGAAAGCTGTGGCACGCCACATAGCATCTAGATCGCTATCGCGCCTGCCATCGTGTGATCGTCTTCTTTGCAGTTTGGTTTGGAAGCAGTCGCCAGTGTCCGGGCAATATCTCGAATATAAGGGGCACTAATGAATTGAGCTCAGGTGGGCAATTGAATTTGAATTTGGCCAGTATAATTAGCCAAAGTCAGTCTCGCACTGGACAGCACTTAATTGGCTGCATGTGCTCTATGCTCTTAGTCTGCTCTGCTCTACTCTACTCTACTGTACTTCACTGGCAGGCTAATTAATGAAAGGCTCTTCTCCAGTGTAGCTCAGCACAGTTCACCAGCGTCACTTACACTCGTGTCCGCAATTAGTCTGTGTCTCGGTCGCAATCCTCGCGCCTACTTTTGTCTTTTGACACACGAAAGTTGCGAGGANGCTCTGCTCTACTCTACTCTACTGTACTTCACTGGCAGGCTAATTAATGAAGGGCTCTTCTCCAGTGTAGCTCAGCACAGTTCACCAGCGTCACTTACACTCGTGTCCGCAATTAGTCTGTGTCTCGGTCGCAATCCTCGCGCCTACTTTTGTCTTTTGACACACGAAAGTTGCGAGGATGGAGATGAAGAAGATGAAGAAGACTACTTTTCACTTTACTTGCGCTTGTACTTTTTTGCTCCGCTTTCGTTCAGACCTCCAGTAAGTCCCAGTAAGTGAGAGAGTTAGACCAAATATAAGTTCCGCATTGCGAACACTGCCGTTAATGGAGACAGTTGAGGCAGCTGAGCTTAGCAGCAAAGTTTAGTTGTGGTGGTGGTGTTCGCTTTCAGTTGTGATAATTTTTCGCTACAATACACATTGCCAGGATGAGCAATTGTGCAAATGCCTCCGCAAAGCCTCTGTTCTAGTGATCAGTGTTTGCCTGTCNCGTGTCCGCAATTAGTCTGTGTCTCGGTCGCAATCCTCGCGCCTACTTTTGTCTTTTGACACACGAAAGTTGCGAGGATGGAGATGAAGAAGATGAAGAAGACTACTTTTCACTTTACTTGCGCTTGTACTTTTTTGCTCCGCTTTCGTTCAGACCTCCAGTAAGTCCCAGTAAGTGAGAGAGTTAGACCAAATATAAGTTCCGCATTGCGAACACTGCCGTTAATGGAGACAGTTGAGGCAGCTGAGCTTAGCAGCAAAGTTTAGTTGTGGTGGTGGTGTTCGCTTTCAGTTGTGATAATTTTTCGCTACAATACACATTGCCAGGATGAGCAATTATGCAAATGCCTCCGCAAAGCCTCTGTTCTAGTGATCAGTGTTTGCCTGTCCGCTGCTGCTGCTGACATTCGATCCATCTTTGGGATTTACTGCTGACCGATTACCGCAAATAATAGAGCGGTGCGGATCGTAAAGTATTCGATCAGCAACTGAGAAGTGAACATCGTCAGCTGTAAATGGTAAATCGACCGTAGCTGAGCAAAGTATAAGGCAGGCCAATAACTCACGTGCTGCTGATTATCTCCTTTCATTGTTGATTGTTTGCAATTGCCTTCGCCGCAGTTGTCTCTGTTGCCAAAGTGAGAAATGCCTGCTGTTGCAGCGCGTGCAACGCGCAACCACCTCACTCAACGGTGATCAGCGTTCGGGTAAGCCCAGATTCATGCTCAGCTCACCACCAGAGAGAGAGAAGTGCCTTTATTTTGTTCGTTGTGGCACCGTTCGACTGCACATTGTTCCCTGCACACAGCAACAGGGGATTGGCGCTCGTTTGACTCGCAGCAATGGGCACCAGGTACTACTGCAATCTACTGCATGCCGATTCTCTCCTTCCTCACTCGCTCGATGGGCGACCGGGAGAGGCGCCAAAAACGCGCTCGCAAACACACACACACGGACAGTCAAGTGAGCGTTGATGATGCCATAGTGAGGCAGTGCTCTTGTACTGCAATTAGAAATGAATTTAATAAGTGCTCACTCGGACACTGAGCACTGTTGCTCTTCATTCACTAGAACCAATTTGCCAGCACGCAGGGCTGCTGCTGCTGCTGCGACAATTTACTTTTTTGTGGCATTTCTCTTTATTCATTATTTCGGTTATTTTTAGTGATGTTTGTCTCTCCTTCTGTCGTGTGCGTCGCAGCAGTAAGTTGGTGGATCCCACTTGCAGACATTGAATAACGGTCTCCAGCAGCATCAGGATAAACAAACACAAATGGTCTCTCCATTAATATTAATGGCAGACAGTGTGGTCGCCTGTGAGTGCTGTACGCAAATTACCGTTAACTCAATCGGACAGGCACTTTCACCTTTTCCTCCGCCTCCTCCTCTTCTTCTTTACAGTTATTATTATTTTTATTGGTGGCCATCAAATTTCTGTGCCATCTGATCAGGTGACAAGAGTGTTGTTTTTATTATAATAACAAAAAAGGAAAAAATGAAGACAAAGCGAAAAATGTAATGACAGCGAATGACGAGACGAGTGAGTGAGGCATTGAAAAAATGACAAAAATGGCAACAAATGAGGTGAAAAAGTTTGATGAGATGAAGTTTTTGTACAAAATGATCCAACTATGATTGCTGTGATTGGCAGTGAGATAAGGCTGACAATAAGTAGTAAGAATTAGAAGAATCGCTGGGAGCAGTGACTGGGTGTGACGACTGGTGCAGCCAGGCACCGGCCAAGAATGGTACATGTAGGGAAGGGAAAAGGAGACTGGCAGAGTGGTGGTGATGAGCGAATGGATGGCCATTAAGAGGGGAACGATCGTGTGGTAGAGTAAGTGGCTGTTTTTGTTGTTCTTACTGCAGTAGGCACAAAGATGAGTTCGCTTAACAGCGACGAATGGACGGCAGAATTGGCCTTACCTTTGCTCCTAATGCTCACATGCTCCCGCTACTTGTTAGCGCAGAAAGAGAGGAAGAAAGGAAGAAAGGAAGGAAGGAAAAAGAGTGCACTGCAAGACTGCGAAGACGGGCGTGAGAACACTGACTGAGTGGTGAAATGGACGATTACTTAGTGGACGAGTGGGTGGTCGCCACTGATCGGTGCACTTTTGCTCTCTCTCTCTCTCTCTCTCTCTCTGCATCACTTGTTGTTCTTCTATTCAGTAGTAGACTATGAGTTGAGTGTCAAATGGCGAACGGCGCCTTCTGAGAAGCTTCCACTGCTCTGTTCATCGTTTTTCACTTCCGAGTGGGTAGCGCCAGAGTGGCCACTGCGATGGCCTTTTCTAGTGGCACAATTTTGCTTTCTTTGACCTGCGACTCTGCGACAGACCTGTCGCTGCCGCCGCCGGTTGTGTCTGCTGCTATGATGGCGATTCTGAATTCTGGCTGACCGCTGCTGCTGCCACTGCTACTGCTGCTTTTGCCGATGTACGGGTCAGGCGCAGAGTAGATGATGGCTGGGTGATTGGCCGCCTTTGAGTCGTAGTTGTTGTTCGATGACTCGTAGTTGACTGGCGAGTTCAGTGGCTCGTAGTGAGGTTGCTGGTTCACTGATTGCTCGGATTTGGGAATTTTAATCTCATTCGTGGCGTATGATTTACTGAAGGGACTGCTTCCACTTCCCTGGTAGTCACTTTTGTCCGCATTTGAGTAGCCATCAGAGGAGGATGAGTAGCCAGAGTTGAGACTGCTTGAGTAGCTAGTCGGGCCGGAGTTGTCTGAGCCGTAGTTGTTGCTGCTGCTGAAGCTGACGCTGCTGCTGACACCACTTCCTCCCTGGTTTGAGTAGTTATCGTTGTTGCTGTGGCCACTTGAAGAAATGCCCTTGTCACCGGCGGCAATGGTCAGGAAGATGGCAGCTGGTGGCCTAACATTGTTAGACTCATAGTTGTTGCTTGCTTCGTAATTCTGGTTTCCCTGGTACCCATCATCACCTCCTCCGCCGTTGTATCCGCCACCACCACCACCGTTATATCCGCCGCCCATTGAGTATCCGCCACCACCTCCTCCTGAGCTTCCACCACCACCATAACCTCCTCATTTTCAAGAAACGGTGTTATAAAAAATAACTAAAAAACAAAGCTTAGTTGCATACCTCCAGATCCGCCTCCACCATAACCTCCTCCTCCTCCCCCGTTTCCTCCTCCGCCGCCTGAGTAGCCGCCGCCTCCGCCTGAGCTTCCACCACCACCATAACCACCACCGCCGCTACCGCCGCCTCCGCCTCCTATACAAACATTAAAATAAATAAATGGGTTTGTAAGCGCATCGTGCATGAAAGGTAAATGAAAACGTTATCACTTACCATAACCACCTTTGTATTGTAGAAAATTTTAAAAAAATATTTGTTAAACTAGAAAAAATTTAAAAAAGTTCAACTAATTACCCCCGCCGCCAAAACCACCTAATTATTAAAAAAAATTTTAGACAAATATTCAAAATAAAAAAGAATGAACTTACCACCGCCTCCTCCATAACCACCACCTCCGGTTCCTGTTTAAAAAATAAGTTATAAATTTTTTCTTGTTGGTAATAAATTGGTTTCATTCGTACCACCACCTCCGTAACCACCACCACCACTGTTTCCACCACCTGTTTACAAATAATTTATTAACTTCAAGAGTCGATAATCATTTCATTTTATTCGTACCACCGCCATAGCCTAAAAAATAAA